TCTGAACTCACAGCTCTGAAAAAAGTCAAGCGCTCAGGAGAAGGGCTTCTTGACGAATCATAAAGTTTTGGTTCTAGGTTCCATTTGTCACTTACATGAACCAACTTTCCAGCTTTGCTAGAGACAGGAGTCGCTTGCTGGTCAAACTGACCATTGGTAATGTGGCTGAAGCCGAAAAGTGGGCCCTGGGTGGGGACCTGTCTACCCTCTTCCTGAGCAGCAAGTCAGCTGAGTGAATGAGAGACTGTAATGGATTCCAAAGGGACACATTTCTGCTCTGTCCCATCAGAAGGTGAACTAAAGCACCATATGGCTAGAGATCTGGGTTTGGAATGTGTTGGTTCAACAGCTAAACATAGTCTTAATGAAGCGATTTTTAGTCTGAGGGTCTCTTAAAGTCAACTGAAATTATTTTTAAATTAATTCATTTAAAAAATTGAGATGTAATTGATATATAACATCATGTAAGTTTAAGGTGTACAATGTGTTGGGTTTGATGCATTTACATATTGCAATCTGATTACCACCGGAGCGTTAGCTAAAACCTCTATCATGTCACATAATTTTCACTTCTTTTTTGTTGAGGGAACATTTAAGATCTATTCTCTTAGCAACTTTGAAGTATGTACTACGGTACTGTTGACTATAATCACCACGCTGTGCATTAGATCTCCAGGACTGATTTATCTACTGGTTGCAAGTTTGTACCCTTAAACATTTCCCCAATTCTCCCAACCTCCCTCACCGCCGGTAACTATCACTCTATGCTCTAAGAGCTCGGCTTTTTTAGATTCCATGTATAAGTGAGATCATATAGTATTTGTCTTTCTCTGAATGACTTATCTCACTTAACATAATGCCCTCAAGGTCCATCTATGTTGTCACAATTGACAGGATTTCCTTCTCCCTCATGGCTGAATGATATTCCATTGTGTATATATACATATATATATGTATATACACACACACACACACACACACACACACCCCACATCCTCTTTATTCATTCATCTGTTGACTGGCACCTTAGCTTGTCAATTAAAATTATTCATGTGTTATTGCTTAGTGAACTAATCTTAAACATCACCTTCAACATAAGCAACTGAAATTCCATGTACAGATAGATGCAAGTTATCTCTTCCTTCTTTAATTCCAGTAACATTGTAACTGCTGTTCTTAAATGAGATTACCATTTTCCTGCTGTATTATTTTCTTTTGCTCCCCTCCCCAGTCTGATTGATCTCATACCACCCTGCATGTAATAGGCCAAACGAATGGATGGATGAATTGGCTGCAGACAACCATTGAGAGTTGTCATTCTTGGTGTTTAGAGACTGCAAATATGAAAGTTTGACTACTAAAATGATTTCCTTAGAAGCACCGGAGACACGAGCAGAGGAAGAACTCAGGCTCTGATCTTTGTGACTTCACACTTTGATGAGATTTTAAATAGGAGTTGTAGGAGTGAGAGGATGGTGTGGCTTAGCTAAAATGGCTTGGTGTCTGAATTATTCTAACAGTCCTATAGGCAGAACCATCATTTCTGTATCAATTTTATTAACTGCAAAAAAAAAAAAAAGAAATGTCTGCATTACTACCTCAACACTGGTACTGGCAGTAATTTCTCAGGCAACAGCCCCGAGAGAACAAGCCCTGATATCTGTCGGCAATTCTCCAGGTAGTGCTGGAATGCCAGCTTCAGGACTCCCAGGTCTTGACCAGCTGGCCCTTCCCGGAGGAGGCAGCCCTGCTGGATGAATGCACCTCTGCTGCTTCTACCTGAGGCTGTTCAGATCCGTGACTATCCACGGCGCGGAATGCTCTGCCAGGATCCCACGGGACGAGGTTCATGCACCTGCTGGTCCAAGCACACCTTCAGAATGTCCATCTCCGCCACTGCTGCTGGCCGCTGCCCATCACCTCTCCTGCTTCCTGCTGCATTCCTTCAGGGGAAGAGGGAAGTCTGCCTTTCCTTAATTAGCCTTTCTAGGCATCTGCCCACCACAGGGTGCAGCTGCCAACAGTTGGATAACAATGCACCTCGTTTCAACAGTGCCCTTCAAAACCCGGGGGCTCACATGGCTGCCAATTCCTCGACTGCTCGCTCAGGCAAGTGTAGTGGCCAAAAGTTAATAAGGGAAAAGAAGCCGTGGTTCTGCCAGAAACACAGCATTACGCTTGGCCATATTGGCAAATAAAGGGAAGAAAACAGTTTTAGAAACACAAAAGCTGTCCTCTGGGCTAGGAGACAAAACGAACATGCAGGGCCAATGGCTCGGTGTCCAGGAGGCAGTGCATGTCAGCTCTGCTCAGCGGAAAACCACACTGGACCAGGGTCGGGGAGCCCGGCTTTGAGTCCCGCTCTGCCATGACGACGGCAGATCACTTTGCTTCTCTCTGTTCCTTCCACTTCTCCTAAGGCTTGAGCGAGATGGTCCTTATTTTCTCTTTGTGAATGTCAACCTAAAAGCCACGCATGACAGGACAAATCTCGTTCTGGCAGGACCTGGTATGTTTGTCGCTGGCTCCGTGCCTTGGTTTCTTGATTCAACTGTGTTGATAATCATGCCCTTCACTAAGGGCATTTTCATTGAACGACTGAAATGTGGGAATGACATTTTTGCAGATTGTATGTCCCAAAGATGGCCGCAATAAAGCTTCCCATCCAACGTGCTTTCCGCAATGTGACCTTGCCACTCTTGCTCAAGAGGTGGAGTCCATTTCTCCACTCTTGGATCTGGTCTGTGATTGCTTTGGTTAATCAAATATGGAGGAAATGATGTGCTGCCATTTCCAGGAACAGCCTTACCTCACCTGGTAGGTTCGGCTTTCTGCTTCTTGGAAGCCAGACGCCACATAAGAAGTATGCCTGCCTCCCCAAGACCACCACTGTGAGAAGCCCAAGCCACATGGAGAGGCCCTGAAGGATGAGCTGCCATGTGAAGAGAGAAAATGGCCAAGAGCACCGAGTCGCTAGGCATGAGGAGGAAGAATCCAACTTGGAAGTGGATCCTCCCTGCCCCAGCTGCCCCCATGTGGATCAGAAATGAACTGCACCCCTGAACCCTTCCCAAATTCCTGAACCCACAAAATCGTGAGCAAAATAAATGGTCGTTTTAAGCTACCAAGTTTTGGCAGAGTTTGTTACATAGTACATAGGAATAGATAACAGAAACGATGTTATCTGCAGTATTGGACAAATACAGATGAGCCTCACCTTAATAGATCTGTTCCTAAAAGGATTTGCTGAAAATGAACACAAATTTACATGTAAAATTATTTTTAAATCTTCTGAACTTACATTTACATTTTGGCAGAGAATCACTAAATCCTGCTGTAATGCAAGGACACTCATTAGTTTAGGCACCATCTCCTTCTGGGAAACCACATCGAATTTGCCTCTTTGTTGTCTGCCCCTCGAAGGCAAGGTATATATCTATTCCTCTTTGTAACAGGAACAGTAATCATGGCTAATACATAAAGCATGCTTATTACGTGCCAGGGACGCTTCCAAGCACTTAACACATATCTTACGTTTATAATATATCAACTCAATGTTTACAATAGCCTTGTGAGGTAGCTACTATTATTATTCTCACTCTACAGATGAGGAAACTGAGGTACAGAGAGGCTAAGTAACTTGCCCAAGGTCACCCAGCTAGTAAGTAGCAAAGCCTGGCTTTGAACCCAGGCAGTCTGAGTCCAGAGTCCACGCTCTTAACCATTATAACTTACAGCCTCTCCTTGAGCATTCAGCATTCAATAAATGTTTTTGACTCAATTACCAAATCCACAACAGAAATCAAATCCAAACTTCTCACACAGATCAGGATTTCTGAAAGAAAAAACCCGTGCCACACAACCAAAAATCAATTATAAGAACGACCTGCAGACATAAAATCCCATATAAATGCTAAGTAATGATAATGAATTTGCTACACAGACCAGAAATAAATCTGAATGAGAAAAGATACTCCCTACCCCTTCCTGTTTATCTATTAGTGCTAATCGAGTCAGTAGCTGCTAATATAATTACTTCATGAAAATCTATGCTAATAGGAACCCAGGGATGGCACAGATAAATAAAGCTTACAGATGAATATTAGTCTCGTGTTCCCTCACCATTCATTTCAGAAAGCTCCTCTACCAAACCTACTAACCAACTGATTTGTATCATCTCCTTCCTTTTCTCTCCATCTGGGGCAGGCTGCAACAAAAGGGTAAGGAGACAAGCGAAGCTTTCACAAAAACCAGTGCCTGGATAAAAATTCCCCAAGCTGAGAACTGCTGCAAATGGTCGTAACAGAACTGGAAGGTACTGTGTAGAAAGACAATGTCTACTTCCCTGTAGAAGACACACAAAACGACACCTTATTTATCAGGTTTCAAACTGGTTACTGTTGCTACTCAAAGTGTTGTGTGCGGACAAGCAGCAGCAGCATCACCTGAGAGCTTAACAGAATTGCAGTCCCTCGGCCCCGCCCGAGAACAACAGAATTTGCCAACTTGTGCAGGAAAGTTTGAGAGCCTTGCAAACGACTGGCCCATGTGAGTCTGGGGGACGGTGAAAAGAAAGGGGGAGTCTGTCCTCAAGCAATGACCCTCCACCCCTCCCCATGCTTACCTCCAACATCTCTGCTACCTCCACCCAAAACACCCAGGCGGCCAAAGGGACCTGAAAGCTTAGGGAAGCAGTAACCGGGGCG